GTGGAAAAAAAAACAACCTCCCTCCCTCCATTTCTTTGTAGCGCACAGTTGAAAAGTACCCAAGATGTAAAATTGCTCAGATATTTTCAAAATTAGTTTTGTGCACAGATGAGGTTTTCCCCTCCTGCTATGATCTACAGACATAGATCCCTCATGCCTGCTGCTCCACACTGTTGTCCATATGGCCTTGACTGGAACCTCTATTTCTCCAGATGCACAAGGGAGATTTCCAGCCAGTTTCAACAGCTCATTTCCCTAGGCTTTAGCTGTTGTGCTGCTCTTCAGGTAGTTCAGTGCAGCAGTCTAAAATTTCTGGCCCAAGTTACTCTATGGTTAAGCTAGACTCTGGTTCCAATTCCTTGATCCCCTGCTATCTGGATGGAACACTGTACATCTCCTCGTGGGGAAAGCCAGCGTTCAAAAAACAGCTGCAAGCAGGTCCCGGTAGGACAGCAAAACGCAACAAGATTCAGGTGTTTGGATGCAGCAAAACAGCAGATCTCACAGCCATGGAATTGAGAGGCTTCACAAGGCTGCAACTGAGATAAAGTGAATTAGGCAACACTCCAGAGCCATTTTCTTTATGCTATATGTAGACTAAGACTTTATGCTGATTTATGTTCCACCCGCATTATCTTGGCAAGAAGAACCAGTTTGTTTTATTTTTTTAATGAAAGCTGACATCTTGGAATGAAATTCTATGATACATGAATTCCATGTTGAGCTATGATTACAGGCATACACCAGTTATTTTGCATGTCCTCTTGCATTCTCTCTACCTATCCATTGATTGTTTTATACCAGCCACACAGTATCCAAGAACTATATCATTACTAGAAAAGTACATTCTTATTCTGTTGAAGTTTAATACATTACAAAAAGAAAAGGGGAAAGGAAAAACAAAACAAACCATGAATGCCACAGGACAGCTAACAAATTACATATTAAAAAGGTGGACAGCTCAGACGTTTCAGATCACTCTTCCAATTTACTTGACCATTAAAAATATTTCCAGAACTGAAAATCCCACATCCTCCAAAATGTGTGCAATAAAAATATTCTTGTAATTGATATCAAGGATTTCAATGATCATCTATAACCAACGCATACAGATTACCTTAGCTATACTACCAGTATATCCTGGAACCAGGGTAAGATGATTTTCTTGTTTCCACAGTCCACATAATTGCTCTTTTAAAATCTGAATATTTCTGGAATAAAATGCATACAATTATAACTTCAGAAACAAGTATGGCATCCAGATAAGTACATAGCAATCTTCAAAAACAGTTTAATGGTCGATACGGCCTTTGAAGGATTGCAATTTCAAATAGAGTGCAGGGCTCAGTTATTAACTTCCCGTTCAAATAAATTCAGCAGTTTTTGCACTATTCATTATGACTGCATGACTTGAAATTTTAATAAAAGCAATGCAAAATTGAGAAAGCTTTTAAAACAGAATTTTCTTTGAAAGAATACCATTTGCTCCATTTTTAAGGAGCAATTTTTAAAAGAAAGTTTCAAAGTAGTTAATACATAAAACACTACAACAGAAGTAACACACACTTTTTGGCTCTGTGCATTTCAAGTTACTGTGTTTCCTATTTTTTTTTTTAATCCATCTCATTAGAAGGGCTAGAAAGTAGCCTAGGTAAATTGGCTACACAGCCACAGAAATGAGTTACAGTATTCACACTATTATACTCACCCATCCTCTACCTTTCCTGTGTGTGCAGATAGTTCTGACCACCATCTTTTAATGACAGCTTGGAGCCAATTTAAACCAACTAGCACATATCTGTAACAACATATTTAGATATGAATAATCTCTCTCATTTTGATAGTTTGATACAATATCCACCAACACTATAGCTCAATGCAAAGATAAAAAGATTCTTCTATGTAGGTAAACGCTCAGATAAAAAAAAAGGACAAACAGGAAATCCATGAAGAATGACTTTACACCCTCAAATTGCTATTTTCCATTTTAAAGCCATACATTAGAGCTCATATAACAAATAATTCCTTAAGAGATTTTGCATTAGAGAATTACTTTCCTTAAGTTTCATAACCTGGACTCATGGTAGTGGTGGTCCTCACAATTTTAATGCCGACTGCAAATGAGTCTTGGTACAAGGACAAAGCCAGCTCCTTCCTCCATGACTGCAGAGGAGCCCTTGGCAGAAGAAACAATGTGGCTTTTGCACAAATGGTGAGGGTGGGAGGGAATGGAGCAGAGAGGGTTGGGGATCAGGGCAGGGATTCATACATGAAGCTCTTTTGCAGAAAGTGGTCTTGCATGTTAGTTTCCCTACTGTTTCCATGCAGAAAGCTAACATCTGCTACAATGTAGACTTTTGTGCTGGGGTGGAATTGGGCGTGTGCACAATGGATACAGTGCAGTAGCACTTCATGGCATGAATGGTGTTAGGGAAGTCTTTGGAATCATTTACTTCTAAGCTCCATATTTTTTTTAATATGACCACTCGTTTTGATACTTACTCTTCATATTTGCTTTTAAGCAGCAATTTTACTAAAGTCAATAGATCTACACAGCAACCAACTGATACATATGGCTTTTCTTCCTGTAAACTAGAAAATGAATACGTCAAATTACATGAACTTTTAAACGTATTAATTCTGAATCCCACTCAAACTCCCTGCATCCTAAACATTTTTTCTTACCTGCTGGTAAGCACAGGAAGGCAATCTACTATTACTCCAAGATCCTGTATCCTAGAGATATTAGGGAGAATAGGATATTAGTTGATTATATGTTACACCACTTAAATCCAGCAGAATTACTTTAAATTAAAAACACTCAGAAATTATGGTCAAAATCACAAATTAAAAGGACAGGCTACAGTTCTGTGGCAGGTTTTGGATTGCTATTACCTTTGGAAAGGAATTAAAAAAAAAAAAAGGTTTTAAAGAAAACCCACTTGTTTTACCTCAGTAAGTAGGCTACCAGTTCACTTATACTTCTCCTTCTCCAGAAAGTTAAAGCTACATTCAGCCTCAAATTTCTACTGAAAAGAACTTGTGCCATAGTTTCATGGTCCTGAGAAACCTAAATGTTTTTAGAAAATACAAAAATGAATTTTAAATCAGTTATTGCACAACACATTGCTGTAAGAAAAAATACGGCACAGAAAACTTTGATTTCTATCTATCTATCTCAATTGTAACATGCTTTTATGGGTAAGAGGAATTTCAACTTTATATAGACACAGACTCAGAAATCTTCAGATGCAGAAAAATCATTGTTTACTATTACCTGTTTGAAGATTCTGTGTTAAGGAACCCTCCTCTCTCAAACAACAACAACAGAAGCCTAACAGTGCTATTACAAACGTACAAAAATAGATGCCTACACTTAGATACCTACATAAATCAATTTACAACTCACAGATGTCAAGCAGCCTGCACTTGTCACCAATTTCAACAGGAACTCCTGGCTATTCAGTAATTTTGAAACATTCACATATTTGTTTTGGTTTCTAAACAAGGAGTTAGGAATTTAAAGTTTAGGCAAAATTTCTGAAAATTCTACTACTGAATGGTATTTTTAATACATGCCCCCCCACCTTGAATTAGAGTGACCACTCCAGAAAATAACCCACATATGCCTCAATATCTGGTCAATTACAAAATATCACAATGAATGATCTATACCAATATGAAAATGCAGTATTCAGCAGTAATTTTCAATTTCAATTCACTCAAGAAAAAGACTAATTTTGATTTACTTTACTTATTTAAAAAGGCCTGGTACAGAAAATGCTGGGCATAACCAAATACTCTAGTGAAAGATACCACGCTATGAAAAGGTTCCAGAGCCAACTAAATAAAACCCCAAATAAAATCAATGGACTGCAGATAATATGGATCTGTTATATTAAGAAATACTTCTAAAAGTTTACTTGCCTCTGAAAAAAATCCACTGTATTTTGATGATGGACCTTCTGTTTGAGAGGTACCAGAATCACTGGGATTTAATAGCAATGTGCGACTGTCACTGTGTAGTTTTGCTGGCAGATTACCTGCACAAGCAAGTTCATTTTCCTTATTTGCCATTTCACAACTCCTGACTTTAGGGAACTGATTTTTTCTATAACAAGGCTTTGGGCTGTAATGTTGAACTTTTTTTTTGCAATATACTACTTTGAACAGAGAGCACGGGCTGGTCAAAGTTTGTCCAACTGTCGTTCTGCAATAACAATATGATATATTAAATCAGTCTTGCTTCATTTGACATTATACACAATGTAAAAAAAAAATTCATTAAAACATTAACAAATATAGCAATGGTAATTTTTAATCAATATTTTCTTTTTTAAAATAGAAAATGATCTTTCCTATATTTTAAGAACTGTAATTAAATAAAATTAGAATAGCAACTGTCTAGTATTATTCCTTCCTACTTTCCTCTGGAAAAACTCATGACAATATCCAGGAAAGAAATTAGAAAACAAAAGTGCTCTGAAATTAATACTAATTCATGCAGCTTCAACCAATAGTTCAAATTCAGGCAATTTGAATAGTTTATTCCTTTCTGTAGATTCTAAATTGCAGATTTCCTACCTGTTTGTGTATGAAGCCAACTGTTTTGAAGATTTCTTACTCTACGGAAGGAAAGAAAGAGCCACACAATTACAATAAAGGCAGAAACACAAGTCCAATTTACACAGAAAAAAAAAAGAAAGCCACTTGACTAGGGTCCTTCCCTATTCGCATATAACCAAAACATGGAAATAGTTTTTGCTTACTTTCTTCCATTGGTTTGTACCTGTTAAAGAGCTACAGGTTTTATGGAGATGTAGCTTTTCCTCCATATTGTTCTATGGGCATCCTGTTCAGTAATGAGATTGTGATGTCTTTGGTAAGTGCTGGTATTGTGACATCAAACATCTCTCACTTTACCAATATGGTAGGTATAGTAAACAATTTTGCTTTATATTGTATGTAAACAGCACAATATAACTACATTGTCTAACATAAATAATCTGAATTTGATGAAGAAACTGCAACTGAGGAAATCACTGCTATGAGGTTAAGTCTTTTGAATACATTAGCTGTAAATATTGGGTAAGGAGGCAGTATAGTGACAAAATGTAACTAGCATAGCTGGTATCTACAATCCAACCTTGACTGCTTCAGTTTCACTTATCTGAATTAATTCCCCAACATCAATTACACTGCAAACATATGGATAAATCAAAGGAAAATTTCTGTTACTGCTGCTAAGATTGTGCTGTACATATTAAAGTTTAAAAAAAAAAAGTTAAGCAGCATACATGTTTCGTCATTATTAAAAAGCTCACTAATTACATTTCTTTGCCAATAATCTCATTTAAAATTAGACCCAGAAACCTGCCACTTCATTAAAATATACATTTAATATTTGGAATTTCAAAACCAACAAATTTATTAAAAGTATTAAACTGCTAAAGAGCTTTTTCATGTGTACAGAATCTAGTCCAATTCCATTTAAACATAAATTTACATAAACATCCATTTAATGTCAAAATTGTCGAAGTCAGCCACATGCAATCAGAAGCCTCTCCTGCTGAATCTTACAATAACTACAGCTTCAATAGGGTCTTTTTTGAGCTTTACAGAAAACTTTAGTAGGAGGTCATGGAGAAAATCTACCAAGAATTCTGCTCCCCAAACTTATACGGCATTTTTACACATGCTTTGGGGTAGAGGGGGTGGCGCTTTAATTAAAAGTGCCTGCAGTGTCACGTGCATTCAGCATCCCGCGCTTCAAAACAGAAGTGGGGCCCTTTAACTAAAAGTCATTTGATGAGCTTTAGTTAAAGCACCCCCACTGCCATTTTGAAATGCAGGGTTGCCAAATACACACAAATGCGGAGGCTGCTGGACCATGCCAATTAGCACACTCCAGCACCCAAATCGAGTCTGCTCTGATGTATACTAGTTAGCACATGTCAGAGCAGGTGTCCAGTATATGTACCCACAGTTCTCCCAAGTAGGGACCCAAATCAGTTCCCTCCACCTTGCATCTGGCCACATGCTTGTAACTGCATTAGGCACTCTTTAGAGCAGCAGTAACTATTGTGCTGATTTCTGGAGGAAGAAGTAGACCATAGAAGGAGCCTGCCTTCAGCTTCATCTCCAGCTCTGCTCCGTGAAACTAAGCAGAAATCCTACCACACAGAAATGAAATGGAGAGATCTGTGTTCTTAGGAGTGGGTGAAACCATGAATTACCATCTTTCCGGCATCACCTCTCCACAATTTTACTTTGCTCTCAGCAAAATGTTTTTAGTGGGGCATTTCTCTTTAAGCCTTCATTGCTCCTACATTATCTGGGTAAGAAACTCACAGGCTTCAGCTGGCTATGATCTTTAAATTTCACTAACAACAGTAAAAAGGGAACACAGTACTACCTTTTTTGACTGGCAACACTGGGACAGAGAGAAAAGTGTGAAAATTGGTTTGGATAAGGAAGGAGGTCCTCCTTTGCCTGTGCTGAATGACACTGCAAGACTGATTACGATGAGAGTGAACTTCATCAGAACATGAATCAATGAAAAGACTAGAAAGACAATTGCGTTGTATTGTGCAAATCCAATATAAAGCAGGATCCTCTGCTCCAAAAAGTTTTACAGTATTTTATAGAAGATATAGTACACTAGCCATGGGATAAAGGCTAGTGCCAACATACAGCTTTTGCAGACAAATTGCAGAATCCCAAAATCAGCTGATGGATTGGTAGTATTTCATCAAGACAAGCAGTGCACAGAAACTTCAAGTCACCATGAAAAAAGGATTCCCTATGTTCAGCTCAGAATTTTCTGGCTACCACAGCCACCATAAAAGCTTGTATCAAGTGGCCACAGGCTCAACTGAGATGGCCACACTGAATCTATCCAGCTTAGCTGTTGTATTTATGTCATGGACTGATCACTGCTTCCTGCATTTGTCGTCAGGCAGAGAGATCCATTCTGCTCATTTGGACTTTGGAAACATTTAGTTCCAAAAATCCCCCAATGCCAAGAAAATGCTGGATTATCTATAGTCAATCAAATATTATTCGATGTTAAACTAAACTATTATCTCCAGTCATTTAAAAAGCAGTCCTTTACTGATTTTTTCTTCTGGCTTCATCTTGATATGGCTCATAATTTAGAGATGTGTGATAGGTGAAGCAAGAGAAACTGGAAGCACTTAAATCACTTAACACTTTAGTTGAATTCTCACACTGATATTATGTGCTAAACAGAAAAGTTTACATCTACTATGGTTCAGTAAGAGGTTGACATAATCCACTGTCAAAAATAGTAATTAGCTGGTTAATTTAGTCTCCCTTCAGATGGAGATGTACTGCAGGTTGCTTGACAGATTAAAGAAAAGAACATAGTGAATCTGGACAAATCCATCTGCACCTGTAAATGCAATAAACATCCAGATTGTATGACCATGAGGCTGTCTAATCTTTTTATGATGGAAATCACTTTGCTGTATTAATCCAGAAATTATACATGGTAGCATTTGTCAATAGCCATCTGGGCTGTATCTAGACGTGTGTGCATACTTGTGCTGCTACTAGTGAATGCTTGTGCCACGTGTGCTCTGGTGTGCAACAAGTTACCCAGGTGGGGTAGGGGAGGTTGGGGCCAGCACTGGGCTGGCCCCAACAGCCTTACCTGGGATTCTGGGGGCGTCCTGGGGCTGCAGCAGCAGTGATAATCCTGCCACACGGAACCTGGCCAGTAGTGGAGAGCAGCTCTGGCCAACCATGCTCTGGCTTTGGGTGCCGCATGCTGCTGACATGTACACCACTCAGCTTTTTTTCTGCAGGTTTTTTTGACCCCTGGATATCCAGAGATCAAAAAGCCCTTCATGCTGCTCCCTTGACTGCTCCTACCAACTGACTGTACAGTATGTGGTGCCACAGACACATCTGCAGCACCATATGCTGCACAGCTGCACTAAATTGGATGCGGCCTTGGAAGCCTACTAAAGACCTAGCATCCATTTTGATATTAGATCTTGTTTTTAGATTTCGTAGCTGCTTAGAAAATTGTGGATCATTTACAATCCCTTGAGATTTTGAATACGCATTGTCCTCAACTGGATTCGTTCCTTGCTTTCAAATTGACAATGGAAATGCTGGTAACTGTGCAACCACACTGCCAATGATTCTAGAGGGGTACTAGAGATACCATTACTTTATTTGATGTGAAAGATATTTAGTGAACTAGTGAGGAGCTCCAGGGTAAATAAATATCAGCATACTCTGCATCTCCCTACAGATGAGCATATAGAATTTCTCATATTTGAGCGAAGCAATAAACAGGAATAAAAACAAATTGCTCAAAACTAAAATGTACTGTGGTGAGCTGGGAGAATTTCAGCTATATCTTCTAGCTGCTCATCATCTCAGTTAAAAGTGGATATACATGATCTGCAACCAAAGTTGGTGATGGGGGGGCCATTTAAAAGTCTCAAATGCTTTCAGATTGGTCGTTCCTGGATAAAGAGCCCTGGTTATTGCTACAAAGGTCGTTTTGGGTGGTCAAGATGAGCCTCAGCTCTCTCCCAGGGAGGAAGGGTTTGCAGGGCAGAAAAAAAGAGATGGTAGCAATTCTTTAGCCCAATAGCAGCCTGTTATTTACACACGCAACCTAATGATGTCTAAGACATTAAACACACCAACCTGT